AAAAAATGCATGGCTACCCCAATTTTTCATCGGGGATTCCAGTAACCCTTGCAAAGATCTACTTTTTCTGCGTGGTCCTAACCTGGCGCAAAAACCTTTGTATTTAGTAGGCACCGTCCTTACGATGGGGGCTTCTTTAATTCTTTCTATTTGTTTTCACAGGCAACTCAGAGAGAGATGGCATCAATCCTGATCTCAGACTTGTATGGCAGGCACCTTACTCAACATGACATAGCTCAAGGTATGTTCTGACTAACACCATACTCTGAAGTGTATCATGGTAGGTAGTTTGACAGGGTTTGGAAATTGTGCTCTTATGCTGGCGCTTTGAAAGAAAACCTCATCAACCTATATATTTTCTGAAAACTTAATAGTTTTTGAATACAATCATATCTTTGTAATTTTCTAAAAACGTTATTGTCGCAGTGATATTAAAAGAGATACCCAGAAACACTGCTTCGCTTAAACTGGTTCGCTTCCACACGTGAATTATCGGAGCAGCGCGATTAACATTGGAAATGTTTTCTCACACATCACCCTCAAAAAAGGTGTCGGCGATTTTCCAGGTGTCATTTAATTTTTTTTTCTAAAGCCTCCTAAAGTTTTATGTTCTCAATGCGGACATTTCCTTCTACTAAAGAGGCCATAACTTTGAAACAGAAGTGAAATTAAACAAAGCCCGACACCCTTTTTTCAAAGAGGTATTGTGGAGCATACCTGCCGATTTTTAGCCAATTCTGTCGGAAGATGCATGTAAACGAACTAAAGATGTTCATCCTTATATGCAATTTTATTTTATAAAGAAAAAGACGAAAAACCTTTTATGAGATTGGTATGATTAGGTCTTAAAAACCCCCTCCACACTGACAGATGTCAGCGTGGGTCAGTTTACCACAACAATGGCTTATGACAACTTAAAATAAACAGACCTCTACAATTCTGGCCCGGAAACCAGTCGCAGTGAAATCGATTGAGGTATGACAAACTACCAAGAGCTTTATACACGTTTGTATTTAAAGTGCCATTATGTTTTTTAACTTAGAAGATTTCATCAGCGGCATCAGTATTATGTTGCTCAAGGTTAGGCTTCTTTGTTCTCCTGATATTTTTTGAAACCATGCCTCCTGAAGCCAAAAGAGGAAATCTCGAGGTCTACATCTGCCCTTGACTCTCTCGTTGTGGAAGTTGTTGTAGTTTGTTCTTCAGCTTCATTGGTGGGACTACTGTCCTCGAGTTCCTTCAACCATTCTTCTTGGTTACAGTGCGACCCACGGTCACTCAGAGCTGAAGATCTTGTTCAATGCTGAACCTGTGGGTTCCACCAGATTTTCACCTCTTTAAGGGTGGCGAATGGTAAATGTGAGACTTTGTGAGACGGCGAGACAAGCATTTTTCTTTGCGAGCCCGAGACATTTTCACTTTTTAGATTGTGAGACCGAGACTTCAAAGTNAAAATCTTTGAACTAATAAACAACTGACTTAGAAGCGCTTCACTCCCAAATGGCATTGCAGCCGACTTTTTCTTCATTAAAAGAAGTTTTCATAATGTCAAGAATCTCGAAACATACATAAAACTTGTTCAAATAACCCAGTCAAAGTTTTAATTTATGCATGGTCAACACAACATATCAAATTACTTTACACATGCGGTAAAGTCGTCACGCAACATTTTTTTCAAAACAGCTGTCTCAAATGTCGCTTTATTGTTCCTTTCACCAAAGGAATACATCGATTAAGTCATACGCTTTGTCTCTGTAGTTTGTAAATGATAGTAAAATCATTTTATGCCTTAGTTTTGTTTTAACTTGTCACAAATTTCATACGTGAAACATGCATTGTTCAGTCATTCTATAAATGACCGAATGAAATCTTGGCTACCACTCCAACACTCCTCGCTGTCACCAGTGACATACAGTTCAAGATAAATGGCTTTGAATTGACTTGCTCACTTAGCAAACTATTAACTACACGGATAATGATGAAAATATGTGATAACCTAGTTACGGCAAGTCTGAAATGGGGAATAATTTTGTACGAGTATCAAACGAAATAAACAAAGAACGGCCCGAAGAACGAATCTCATTTAATTGACGGCATGATTAATGCTGGAAAAAGCATCTGAGCTACATTTAAGCTAAATACAGCACGATCTTCAAAGTAAAAAATATCACCTTCATTGTTCATGTATTGCTGCACCTCTTTGTCGGCATTTTTTTCAACTTCACATCCTATAAACACAATGCTCAGGATTCCCGTCTGTTGTACAACGTCGGAAGAAAAATCGAAAATATATGACAAAGAATCAAACACTTACTTCAACNCGAAACATACATAAAACTTGTTCAAATAACCCAGTCAAAGTTTTAATTTATGCATGGTCAACACAACATATCAAATTACTTTACACATGCGGTAAAGTCGTCACGCAACATTTTTTTCAAAACAGCTGTCTCAAATGTCGCTTTATTGTTCCTTTCACCAAAGGAATACATCGATTAAGTCATACGCTTTGTCTCTGTAGTTTGTAAATGATAGTAAAATCATTTTATGCCTTAGTTTTGTTTTAATTTGTCACAAATTTCATACGTGAAACATGCATTGTTCAGTCGTTCTATAAATGACCGAATGAAATCTTGGCTACCACTCCAACACTCCTCGCTGTCACCAGTTACATACAGTTCAAGATAAATGGCTTTGAATTGACTTGCTCACTTAGCAAACTATTAACTACACGGATAACGATGAAAATATGTGATAACCTAGTTACGGCAGGTCTGAAATGGGGAATAATTTTGTACGAGTATCAAACGAAATAAACAAAGAACGGCCCAAAGAACGAATCTCATTTAATTGACGGCATGATTAATGCTGGAAAAAGCATCTGAGCTACGTTTAATCTAAATACAGCATGATCTTCAAAGTAAAACATATCACCTTCAATGTTCATGTATTGCTGCACCTCCTTGTCGGCATTTTTTTCAACTTCACATCCTATAAACACAATGCTCAGGATTCCCGTCTGTTGTACAACGTCGGAAGAAAAATGGAAAATATATGACAAAGAATCAAACACTTACTTCAACGGATGGAACATTTCTGTTGGTTTGGTTACCTGAATCAGTTGGAAAAGTACAATAGTGTTCATTCAATCACATTTCACACCCACTGGAAAGAAAGCTCTTTGAGTAGTCCTCCTCCCCTTTGGAAATTTACTTATGTCAGACACCCCTACCCCTCGGAATTTCCATGACCCTCCATTGGGGGTATGGATATTTTCTGGAACCACACATGCAATGTTAAATTGCTCAAATATAATTATTTGTGCTTAAGTTTTTGAGCATGAACTACTTAACTGATATTTGTTTAAAACAGCAAAGCTTTGAATGAAGCTGATCTGCTGCTGAGAATGAAACATGGAATGGTGCGTTTGGACAGTGTGTGGGGTGTGGCTGGAGGTCGCCGCCCAGTCAAACATCTTGTCAAAAAGGTGAGTTTCAAAGGACATAAGGTTGGCCACAAATGAACATGGAACATCTGAAAATGAAGTTACTTCCAATGTAAATCTGCAGTGATGCCACATTTAAGTTATTGGCAATATAGTGATGACATAATATGTATAACTCTTGTTTTTCAGATGATCTTGTTGCTCAAAGAATACCTGAATTCGGAAGATATTGAAGAAGTGAGTCACCTTAAAATGTGTATTTTACCTTTTCTAAATCCTATCAGGTAATTAGTGCCGTCCAAGTTCTCACCACAAAGATCTGAATACCAGAATTGTTTGCCGTATCAAACTTGTTTTATCCTATGAGTAGATCTTTGTAGACTCTTCCAGTCAGAGTTTGTAATCTTTTAACTGTTTTATTGACAGATAAGAATATTAGCATGAATGCAGGCATTAGAGTGGCTTGCTTTCCAGTTTAAAAACCTAAATAAACTTAATTTAAATATTTCAATTTAATTCTGGAAACCTGCTATGTAATGTGTCATGATGCAATCAACAGGTTTTGCAG